ACGAAGACGACGACCACCCGCAGTCCGAGTGATGGGAACGACATAAAAAGCAACGCGGGCGGCAGTGCCACCAACAGCAACACCACTCAGAAAGCCGTGGCAAATGCTGCGGATCGCAGTGCCACCTCCACTTCTTTTGTGTGTGCGCCTCTCATGCTGCTACTCACGGCCGTCCTTGCCTGCGCCGCTGGGCAGTGGTGAGGGGCAAAATATACGCACCCACACTCCCTGGAAGGGACGACGCGTAAACTTTGCGCTCATTTTGCTTGTCGTCCCTGTGGGTAAATCCTCCTCTCCCTCCTGTGCTCTGAGGGATGTTTACTCTTCTTCTTCTTTTTTTGCTTCGCCACCCCATGCAAGCTCCCATGGGCGGAGCACCCTTTTTTCCCCCTCCTGTTTGCTGCTGCCCACACACACACACACACACGCAGTGCCGGCCGCTGCCACCGTGAACTGCAAACGTGATGCGTGTGTGGTTGTGTGTGCGACCGGGGCAGTGGTTTCTTTTTTTATTCGTGTAGGGATTAAAATATACATGCATCTCTCACGGTCCTCTTGTGCTGCTGGACACGTGAGGTGAAGGAACACCACCTGCCGAAGTGAGTTCGTTTTATATATTTTTCTTTTGGGGGTCCTGCGGGGATGACTCACATCTCTTTTCCGTCTCTTCTTTTTTTCTTTTGCGGCCTGGGCGATGCCCACCCCCGCCGTGGGCCCCAGCGCCGCTGCCGCCACTGCCGTGTGGGGTCGCGACGTTCTTAAATCCTTCTTCTGCCGGTGTGCCGAGACGCCTCTGCGTTGCCTTCCTTTTTTTCTCTGCCACTTCTCCTCCCACACACACGCAGGAGGAAAAGAGAGACCAAACGCTGCTGCTTGCCGCTGTGCGCTTTGAGGGCTCTGCCGCTGCCATCGCCAGCAATCAACACACACACACACACACAATCGTCGCGGCCTGCGCGGACCCGCAGCAAGGAGGGAAAGAAGAAGAGGGTGAGAGTGAGCAGCGGCACAACATGTCCCTGCACTGGCCTTCCTCAGCGGTGCTGCTGCTCTTTTTGTTGGTTTGCTGCGGCGGCAGTGGGGCTGGGGCCAACGCTGCGGAGACGCAGGAGGCGTCGAAGGAGGTGGAGCTCTTCCAACCAGGGGAAACTCCAGTGTTTGCTGCTGGAGAAGAGAGCGAAAGTGACACTCGCTATAAAAGTGTCTCCTCATTCCTCAGCCACTCCCTTCTTGACGTGAATGGGGTGCTGGTTGCGCTTGCCGTCGGCGTACACGGCAACTTTGCCGCCAACAAGCCTCCTGGTATTTGGGCAAAGTACAATACATACAAAGCAGATGAGAAGTTGAACGAAGGCGCTGCATGGGAAGGAAAAGCGTGGAAGACGCAGCTTGTGACGAAGCGACCGGAAGCAGAGGGCTACCTTGTATCACCGCTTGACCTCAAGGCCGTGGGGAAGGGCAATAAAATACATTTGCTCCTGCAAAAAAGAAGAGTGGCCAAAGAGCCTTCTTTGCAGAGTGATCCTGGGTGGGGCCTTGCGTTGATTGTGGGTGAAGTTCAGGGGTCCGGGGAAGAGCGGGGAGAGCAACGAGTCTCGTGGGGGGCTCCCCGGCCGTTGGATTCCATGCTTGCCGGACAGATGCAGCAGCAATCGTGGGAGGGGCTGGAACCCGCGAGTATGTCCAGAGGCGTCGCGGTTGGGGACGCAACGGTTGTTTTCCCTCTTGTGGGATTCACTACCGACGGAACAGGCGGGCGTGCATGCACCGTCATGTGCTCCGAGGACAATGGGGACAGCTGGAGGCTTCCTGCGGCGCCTGTGGTTGCTCAGGACTGTAACTCTGCCACGCTTCTCGAGTGGGAGGGGAAACTCTTCATGGTCACCTCCGGATCTTCTCAGTGGCGGCGCAGGGTCTTCGAATCCGGTGACGAGGGGAAGACGTGGAACGAGGCCGCCGGGACCTTCGCACGCCTGTTGGGCGACGCACACGCATTGTCTTTGCTCGACTCTTCTGACGCCCTCATGACTGCAACCGTTGAGAAGAAGAGAGTGCTGCTGTACACCCAGGTGTTGTTCAGTAGCACTGCGCCAAGAGAAGGCAGCGGAAGACGAACGCCCCACAGAGTAATCCACCTGTGGCTCTCCGACGGTGCCCGGACACACGATGTTGGGCCAATATCTGCGGATGAGGCGGGCGACTCCCCCCTCAGCTCGCTGCTGTACACAAGAGATGAGTTGTTTGCCCTCTACGCGAAGGTGGGTGCGGTTGAACGCTCAGAAAGCCTTGTATTTGCGCGCCTTCCAGAGCAGCTGAAGCGCATCAAAACAGTGCTGCAAACTTGGAAGGATGTGGACGCCAGAGTCGCAAAGCTCTGCAGCTCCGCCACCACCCCCGCTGCTGCGAAGGGCGCCGCAGAACCCGCTGCTGCCTGCGTCGGTGCTATGCCAACGGACGGGCTGGTTGGGTTCTTGTCGAACAATGGCAACAATACCCACTGGAATGACGAGTACCTTGGGGTGGGCGCCGCGGTGTCTGGAGCAACGAAGGTTGCCAATGGCGTTGAGCTGGCAGGGCGTGGTGCATCGATTGTGTGGCCGGTGGGCGGAGGACGGCGGAATCCCGGGCACGGGTTCTGGTGGGTGAAGAGGTGACTCTTGTGGCGACGGTGACCATCAACAAGGCGCCACAGGGC